AATCATCAATCCGTTTGCTATAATCCCTGTAATGAATTCAATTCCTAAAATGATCAAACAAATAATAATTACAGGAAGCATGGTTCTGCCTGTGGTCACTAATGCTTGTCCAGCTTCTGAAGCTCTCCACTCAAGTGCCAGGCTTCTGGTATCTTATCAGGGCCTGTGCTGTCCTGCCATTGTATCACAGCCGAAAGTGAGATGGGAGATGTTTTCAGCTATTGAACTTGGAAGACTCACCTGTGTTTGTTGGGATGCAAATCTCAGAAAGATTCTATTACATTTGGGATGATCAACTCCTTTCTCCTGCCTTTTATTTGTATATCCACTTCCTCATTTCTGTGCATTGACTGTCTGCCAGCTTCACAGACTTTTTTCTATTGGTCTTCTTTCCTGATTTTTATTATTATTATTGATTTTAATTATTGCGCCTTCATTTTCAGATTGGACTACTGCTATTCATTCTTTGAGGCAGCACAGAATACCAGTCATAAGTTGCTCCTATGGCACAATACAGCCATGGCTCTCTTTCTCTGGGTTCTAGTCATGGGAGATTTTATGGAGTCTCCTCTGTCAGCCTGCACTTGGCATGGTTTAGAGCCCTCATTGCTGCTTTCTTCATCTTGAGATTGCCTAAAATCAGGATAAGAGAGTGCCCAGAGGGATATGCAGCCATTATCACTCCACAGAACCATATCAATTAAAGGCTGCCGTCAGCAAATGTTTTTGATTAAAAAGAAATAGACCTCGTGACACGAAATAAACAATATAAAATAAAAGGAAAGAGCTCAGAGATGTAACAGCACTGTCATGAGCCTCAGTGCTGGCCTCCCTGGAGCTCCTTGTCGTTTTTTTCCCATCCTCTTGATACGTTTGCACAGACAAGTGACTAACAATTGTATGGATGAATTAAAAAAATATAATGAAGTGTATGTATGTTCCAAGCATGGATGAAATAATGAGGCCAACGGAGGAAGTATCCTTGTATCTACATTCCACTATGGTGTTTCCTGGTAGTTTTTACTGATCTGTGTAAATATTGGCTATATACACGCCCTGCTGAAGGGACAGAGTGATCAAGAGACCAGCAAGGAGACAGGCCCACAAACAGCAATTCCGGGCCCCAAGGCCAGGGCCGTCCCTAGGTGGGTGTGGGGCCTGAGGCGGAAGTGGCGAATCAGTCACTTCCAGGACTGACCTGTCAGTTCTGGGACCGACCACACTGGCCAATCACGCTGGCCCGCAGGGCCCCCCAAAGCACAGGGCTCAGAGCCCCTGGGTAATTGCCCCTTCCCAGCCCCCTTCAGTGGGCCTGCAAGGAGACCACGAGTAGCTCTATCAGTAGCTGATAGTCTTATCATCAGCCAGAAGAAGAGGGGTCAGTTGAAGTTGGAAATCTTCATGCAGTAAAAGACACTGAGCCAGGTGGCAACCCAGAGATTGGCAGTAGTTAGATACATCCAAACAGTGCCTTCAATTTTTTTTCCCCTCTCCAGTCTTGGTCCTTCTGTAACCTGTTGTTGTACTCCCCGTTTTGAGATTCCTGGCCTGTTTTTTCCATCATAGCTTCTCTTTAGCTTTCTGACTAATTTGTTGCTGAAATCCTTCAATTTTATTTCTTGTGTCCAGCCAATGGCAAGACAAGGAGGTATTTAAAATAATTACCTCTTCCATTTGTTGTTTTAACTCCTTGTTTTGCTCTTCTTCTTTTTCTCTTTCCTCCAATTTTCTATCTGCCAGCAAGGAGCTGTTCTTGTGCAGCCTGGCTATTTAGGACCAAAAAGGTTAATATTTACTAACGAAATCATAAAGATGGCTCTCCATAATTCACACTCTGCACTCCTCACCATTTGATGTAATGTAAAGGGGAAACTATTGATCAATATTGCACAATGTAGGAAAAACTGAAGATGCTCAAGTTAGTCAAGATCATGTCACACAACGTTAATTTTCTGGTTTTGAGCCACTCAATGCAAGTCACACCTATTATCAGCCCATTTGTTACAAATAATGCAATGAGTTCAGTTGCTGAAATAATCAAAAAGATTTCATCAAGTGCAGGAAATACATCTGAACCGATCGTCTGCTAACCCTGTCCCCACCTTGTGAAGCTCCAAGAGCAAAATGTCTCACTGTGACGCTGAGGCACTGATATCTAAACAACCTTTTCTTCTGCCTGTATATCACAGCTGAAAAAAATTAGTTAAATGTTTAGCTGGGGATCATGTTGGGCCCAGCTGCATGCCCTGGGATGCAAATCTCAGAAAGATTCCATTACAGTAATAACCTACTCCAGTCTCTTATTTATATTATATGGGGATGTGCCAATGTCACTAGCCACTTTGCTGTGAACTTGCTGCCTGTGATCATGTTCAGTTTGGTTTTTTTTATTCCTCCTTTTCCAGCTTTGAAAAAATAATTATTTTAATTATTTGCACTTTTGTTTTCACTCTGGATTGGGCAGTTCATGCTGTTTCAAGCAGCCCTTTAAATCTAATCAGATTGCAGCAATGGCTCAACACAGAGTACGTGACTGCAACAGGCCTTTGCCCAGCTGAATCGGAACTTGCTCCACAAAACACACTGTTGGTCAAAAGGTTCACATCAGTTTTATTATTTAGAGATTGAAATTGTACATGACTAGACTCCGCTTATTGGTCTGATGAATGAATATTTATTTTATGGGTGACCCTCAGATACCTCGTTGAGGATCAGAGCGTTATTGAGACAGATGCTATAAACTTATAAGAAGAGACAGGCCTTAGTGCAAAGATCCTACACTCTAGGATGACCCATTTATAAAAGGTAGAGAGAATGAAACGATCAAATATATATGGTCCCTGTAGGAGAAGGGTGTCAAACATACCTCCATGACATATATATTTAGACATAATCAGGTTATGCAGCAGTTAAGCTTCCATTTTGAAAAAAGTAAGTTTCTTGCTCACATGGCTTCAGAGAGAACTTTCCAAACGTGAACTGAGTGTAAACTGAGGTCATGATGTCTCTCTGAGTCTGCAAGACACCCTGAAGCAATGGCTCAGACATATGGACTTCCCCTACCCTCTGTTAATCTCATTGGAGTGTCAGCTCTGAACACAAATGATGGCACATCAATGTCAACATTAACTATCCTAATGTGGATCATTTTAGTGGATGGAATAGGAAAGGGGTGGGAGTGAAGCCCTTGGTGGTAGGAATTGGTAGTTGCTGCAGGGAAGGAAATGCAGGGAGAACAACAGTGGAGATGTGCAAAGACAGAAAAGGGAAGCCAGAGAAAGAAGAGGAACAAAGGGCAAAAGTAATGGCGGCCTAAATGGGGGTATGTTGTCACACAGGGATATTGAATCTGACAATTAACTGCTCAATAAATAACAAATACAAGTTCACTTACTACACATAAACAGCATTCTCCCCATTTTTCTCTGTACAAACACCCCCTGATCTCAGCGAGAGATCCTCTGTGGATTGAGGGGTGTGTGAAGTTCCGAATTGATATCCTGGCCCATACATCATTATTAAACATAGAATCCATCCCTCTCTTCCAAACGAGTTCGACACACTTGCTTTAGGGCCATGTGTTTTTAAAAGTCTCATTGTAGAACTTGAGATTAGTGGCACTTCCAGTATTGGAGATGACCGAGAAGGATATTCTGGTAAATCTTTAACTAAGACATGCCAGAGGGTTTCATAGAGCTTGGTTAGTGATGGCATTTTTGGGGCTTAACTCAATTCTCACTTTAATGTTCTTCTAAAGGGATCCTCTCTTATTAAGTTATTTGTACATATTTTTGGTGAGCCTACTTTTCAGAGGCAGCCTCTGTATTTTTGCAGGTGCAATCCATAACACTTGCCTAATTACCTAATTTGTGGGCACAACCCATAGATTTATGGGAAGTTAGTCAATTAAGTGCTTAGAAAATACCTGGAGTTTATCACGGGAGCAAAACGGTGCCCAGGACAGCAGTACAGAGCCTGTTTTTAGGGGCCCCTTTAAATGTCAGGGCCAATATTTACAAATAGGGCAGCATTTTTGTAACCCTCAGTTGTACATCATCTGTACACAACAAACAATCCAGATGAATTCTAGTACTAGAAACAGCTAAACATATACCATAATACACAGCCTTTCATTTAGGCATAGGTTGTTAGACTATTCTTTGATAGATCTCTCTTCCTGCCCTCTCATTTCTGCCTCCCTCAATACCCTTCCCACTGCTCTGGGGCACTTGGAGAGGGAAATTGATGGCCATTTCTCCCTGGCAAGAAATCTCATAAATGGAGCTGCACAGAAATTGGCAGCTGTTTTGCCATCCCTTTATCTTGTCACCTACAGCAGTGAGTGCTCTGTGGGAATAAGTGCAGAGCTGAACGCCAGCCAGTGCACAGCTGTCAGCTGTAACTGGTGTCTCTTGGACAATTTTCCTTCTCAGAAGAAGAAATGGTCAGCTTCAGGACTGCAGCCTGTGGGGGATGGACAAAGACTAACAAGACCCAGGAAAATTTTCCCCATTCACCAGCCCCCATGTCAGAGGGGAAACATCCAGTGCCATGAGCTCCCTCTCCCAATGCTATGGTTAGCAAAAGACCCCCCCCCCAGCCTTTTAGGGGTTTCACTGGATCTATCTCTCACAGTCCCCATTCATCACAGGAATTGCACCACCAAGGAAGGAAAGGACCTGGGGACCAGGAAAGAGTTGGAGAAGCGGGAGATGGGCAGATTGAAGGGAAGATAGTTGGGTAATACGAGGAAAAGACAGAGGAAAGGAAGGACAAATAATTTACAAAGATGGGAGAGGCTTGACTAAGGGAAAGTAGATTGTACTTACATAAAATTACCAAATGGAAAAACATTGAAGTGAAAAATATATGTAACACCGACAGACCCCAGTTGTCGGTGGGTGGGATTGAACCTGGGATCTCTGGAGCTTAGTGCATGAGCCTCTACTATATGAGCTAAAAGCCACACTGCCTTTAGCTAAGGCTGTAGCAGACTCATTAAGCTCTCTCTAAGTGGTCTCGGTGCCACCAGGTGGGACAGAGCACCACACCCAGGAGGTGTGTGGGATACACATACAACC